GTATGGTTGTTCAACGAACCTTCCCACGTCGCATTTTGGTAGCAACTTGGGAGCACCGGGGATCTTGTCGACCCTCTCCTTATGTTCCTTCATCTGACCGCGGAGCGCCTTGTTTTCATTTTCCATTTCTTCCATCTTCTTTAGGATGGCTGTTAGCGTGCCATCGTTGGTCTGTGTCTTGATGGGTTTGTTATTCGCTAGTGTAACTTCCGGTTCACCCACGACAGCAGTAGTACCTACCATTGGTGTACATCCGATGTTACTTTGTGGTGACCTCTCAACCAAGCCACTTAGAGCGCTTGTTAGCCATCTTTCCAATAGCTCCTTGACCGCCGAGGGTGCTTCCGTAACCGCAGATGTGGAAGCTCCTTTTTCGTGCAAGATCGTCAGACCTTCGGATGGGGAATGTGAGATTTCTGCACCCGGTGCGATGCTAGGGGTTGCATTCAGGATGCCATCGTCACTGGCCTCGTTGAGAGGGCCAAGGAGATTGGTAGTGACATCCAATATAGCTTTCGATCTTGTGTTATTTTCGGCCATTTTCTGTTTTTGGTGGTGTAGAGAATGGTAGTTTGGTTGATCTCTAGGTGGATACTATGGTTTTGATTCTCGAAAATCCCCACAGACGGCGCCAAATTGTTTGCTCAAAAGTTATTACATATCTTATGAGTATAAAACAATACAAATGAGTCACGGGAAAATCATAGCAAATCGTAATAATCCGTTGGACCAAACGAAAGAAACGAAAATAAGTACTCATGATTAGGGGGAGAAACATTAGATACCTTTATTGATAACATTTGTTTGGTCTGCCTCTCCATGAAGAGGTTCAAAGCCTTACAATGGTGTTTTCTCTTCCCATAAGATGGGTATATTTTTTCTCTTCTCTCTCTTGTCAATAGTGGTGAAGAAGCAGCCCCCCTTTTCTAGGGTTCCCTCTCTGGGTATTTATAGCTGTGGGCTTCGTGATCTGGCGATAAGTGGCCGTGACCACGCTGGGATCTCGCCTTTATGGTGGCGGATAGGCCATGGCCTTGTCGATCGAACCAGATGCGGGTTGAACATCGTCAATTCTGAGTGGTCGTGCCATTAATTAATTATGAATTAACTTAAAACGGGATTAGCCTCGTTAATTATTGTGGGGTCGAATTCTGACCCATACAGATACGATCATCTGGAACCACCAATCGTCATCATGATTTTTTGTTACGCTCTTGATCTTCACTTTCTCTTCATTCAACTTGACACGATCACTTATTATGTACATGTCGTACTTTTTATGTGGTAAGCTTTTCGTAATATTGACCTATATATATATATATACACACAATACAACGTAAAATCAAAATAAATAGATACACATATATAAGATTTACTGAAAGTAGTACTTGATGTCGTGCTTGTGTTCATGTCTCACTTATTATTATTACAACCATCAGTATTATTATTGTTATTGTTATTATTATTACTCTAATACTTTTTTATTGTTGGTAATACCATCTAAATCCTATTGAATTAATCTCAGTTGTTGTGAAAGTTCAATTTCTAAGTCTAATAATGCATGCAGACCTAGTCTTAACAATCTTGAAACTAGCAAGCTGATCTAAAGTTCCAGCAATTTAAAATTTCAGAGATCGGTATATGGAAGAAATAAATAAAAGCTTTATAGTCTTTCAATTATAAACAAGACAATAATTTGAAACATTAGTGCCTTGGCTTACATTATCAATTAGTTCCTCCAACGATCATTTGATATCGTCAACAAAAAAAAATATAGATAAAAGAGTTTTGGGATATGGTAGGAGAAGCAGAATATCCATTCTGCTTAAATTATGAAGGCTGCTGTCTGTGCAATTGCACTGATCCACTTATCCTTTTTCCATAGATAATATGTGGTCCATTTTTCTGTGCTTACTCTGCCCTCCTTATCCTCTCAAACTCCTCAAAATTCATTATCCCCCTTTTCATTTTCATAATTTAACAAGAATACCAATAAATTTGTGCGGAAAATAGAAACCTTCTTGGTAAAGAGCGTTTTATCCCTTTAGTAAACATATCCAACGTAACACGATAATTAATTGGATCACTGAATTTTTAGTACTATGCTTGTCTGAGCCAAAGTTATATCCGAAACAATCTCTCTACCTGCACAAGGTAAGGGGATTTGCATCTACACCCGCTTTTTGGGTCACGATTTAACTTGTGCCCGCTTTGCAAAAAAAATTGCAAGCGTACCCACTTTTTCGCGAACTTCAGCAGACGGGGCTGAAGTAGCAAAGGCAATCACGCAAAACTTCAGCATTCTAGTAGACGGGCCTGAAGTAGCAAAGGCAATACGCTGAATTTTTTTGTCCTAGATAAGATGCTGAAGTTATTTAGTTCATTTGTAAAAATTTAAGCACTAAAATAGCTGAAGTTATTTAATTCATTTGTAAAAATTTAAGCACTAAAATAGCTGAAGTTTTTTTGTCCTGGATTCATTAGTTTTGTCATAATAAACTTTTTCAAAAACTTCAGCAGAAAGATGCTGAAGTTATTTAGTTCATTTGTAAAAATTTCAGCATTAAAATAGCTGAAGTTTTTTTGTCCTGGATTCATTAGTTTTGTCATAAAACTTTTTCAATGCTGAAGTTATTTAGTTCATTTGTAAAAACTTCAGCACTAAAATAGCTGAAGTTTTTGAAAAAGCTTTCTAACATACTAGATAAATAATCACTTTATTCTTTCATAGTGTATTACTATTATAAAATAATCAGATTGCCAACAATATCTAAATCATAAATTTTGAAAATAATAAACGTGAAAAGAACAGAATTACGTGGAAATATTCACAAATTATTGTCTACTAACTTACGTAATTATTTGTAATTTGTTTTTAAATAACTGATAAACATACTTATGACAATCATCCCATGAACTGAAGTTTCACAGCAGCACCAACAGCAGCAGAAGAAAGAAGAAGAAGAAGAAGAAAACGATGGAGGAGAAGGGGGAGGAGAAAGGGGGCTGAAGTTGTTTAAAAAGTGGGTACAAGTTAAAACTTTTTAAAAAAATGGGTATAGGTTAAATGGGGGCAACCAAATAGGGCGCCCCGTGCAATTTTTACCACAAGGAAGGGGTAAGGTATGCGTATACACTATCCTCCAAAAACCAGGGCGGAGCTAGCATAGATCTTGCGGGTTCGGCCGAACCCAATAACTATTGTACAACCCCTGTAATTGTCTTAAGATATCCAATATGCTAGAACCTAGTAACATAAACGGGCTATAATCCCGAACCCATAACTTTCAAATCTTGGCTTCGCGCAGACCCCACCAGGTAGGATTACACTAGGTTTATTTCATTGATACCAAATAAAGTTGAAAACTCAAATTTGGGCAGTGATAAGCATTAACTGATAATGGGAGGAAAATGGCTCTTTCCACTTGTCGAAAGGTATATTCAAATTAAGTTGAGGTATAAAATGGTAGCATTTTACAATGTTAACTCAGTAATGAGAACTATATTTCCAGATTTCATGCATGTTCAAGCATGCTTTTGCTGCGACAGTTAAAAATTGCATGGTTAAACCAACTGGTTATTTTCTCTCATTCTGCACTGTATTAAAAACTTGACTCTTCTGTTGTTGGTCTCCTCAAGTAATAGCGTAGACTGTTTGCAAGAACCTGAAATGTTACGTATTGTAGTTTGTCAATGATTCATATCAAGCAAAATATAATTGAAGACAAATCGCTAAATATGAGATTGGATTTGCTTTCGCACAGCAACGCGAGTTACCTGTTGAAGGGGCTTGATGAGAGCTTTGTTCTTGTAGCTTACATGAAATTTCGCCTTAGCTAGCAGTCCCTATATATAACAAAATCAATATGTTAATTACATTGCCGCTAAATGTCCTGTAGTATTTAAAGCAGTGAATGATGAAACCGCTCTGGTTGTAAAAGTCTGACCTCAGTGTCAAATTCTCCTGATTCAACATCAATGTTTATTTCAGTAATGATCTTGACGAGATCAACTATTAATCCAGGTCGATCTGCTGCCTCTACACACAGTAAGCTGCAAAACAGCAATGTTTTTACTATCAGTCTTTCAAGTTATGCACGTAATGGCATCTTATGAGCACGCTGCTTGGTTATCAACATTAGTCTGAAGGCGAAAAATATCATAATAAACTGTATGTATAAACGAACCTTCGGTCAGGACTATCGTCATAGACATGGATATGGGTTGCTATGTCCACATCAAGCTGAAACAATAAACAAAATCTAAATGGTTAATGTTAGATTAAAAAAGTTAAACTACTGTTTCTGTATCATTCATGTTGGCATTAGGCAGAGGTACAGCTGTCAGAGGCGGAGTCAGAATTTGAAGCTAATGGGTTCGGAATTCTATTCCTTCAAAGTTACTGAGTTCTAACTTAATAATTTGGAGGACAAATATAGAGTTTGGACCAAAGATACTGGGTTTGGCCGAACTTGCGTCCAAAGCTCTAGCTCCGCCCCTAACTGTTGTGAAGTATTCAACAAGAAGTAGGCAATGACAAAGTATTTACAACCTTTTGATTTGGTTGATAAGCACCAAAGACTTCACCCATAGCTAACTGGGCGCTAGATTCCTGCAGCAGAAATTATGCAGTAAGAAGAAGCAGCAATAAAAGATACCACAGAGGTACTCTTAACAAGCATCCAATGTACGACGACTGAAATTGCTGCTACCGGATGGAACTCAATCATATTGTTGATAATTGTCAAACGAATTGCTTCTAGCTGCTCTGGATCATCGACCTTCCTACCAGTAGAACTGAAAAAATCCCCAAAAACAGAATAATCCGTAAAAGCATAAAAGGATAAAGTAATCCAACATGACTTACGCATTTGTGATGCATAATGTAGTATGTTTCCCTGATGAATCTAGACAGACATTAGCTTTGACAACATTCAGTCCAAGATTTTTTAATGCACTCATCTGTAAACACATTCAGTAAAAGTTAGGCCCATACGCAAGAAAGATATGCTGCCAAATGACTCCAAAAATTTCTCACCAATAATACTGAATGCTTGAATCAAGAAGATAATGAATCCTACCGTGTCAACAAGAGCTCCAAGGCGATCACCAAATGTAACCTCCACTACAGTTGCATCAGGGTTCGAATCCAGATCTATTATGACTTTTGGCATCGGGACTGCAGTCTCTTGGGAACTTCCATCCTGATTCCCCAGTCCCATGAATCAGAAAACAAATGTCTCAGTTTTTCCGAAAGCAAAAAACAAGTACAATAAGTTCATTCAATGAGTTATTGTTATATGTTAGATACCTCAACAGCTGCAGCTGAGGATGCTTTTGGAACAATTGTACTCTCAGAAAAAGATAATCTGACAGAGCATAACATGTAGATTATATTCCTGAATCAGGGTACATAGATTCCAGGATAAGGTAATTTATGAACTTTGTCCACTGCTAATTTTCAGCAAGTCCATGAGTAAAAACACATCACAGAAACTTCATTATCATTAACGACGGATTCTTGATTATTCCCGTTGCATCTTCATTTTAATCAAACAGTCCTTTACTATATTTGGAATTATTTTATTTCACTACCTGTTTCAAATATCCGAGACAAAAACTTCAATACTGCTTTAAAGAGAAAACAAAATTCTGAAACTACAACTGAAAACAAATAAGCATCAAATTGCAAACAGAACATGAAAAATAACTAAATGAATGCATACAAAAACTCCAACTAAATGGATAATATCAAATGTTTAGTATGCCAACTAATTAACCAAATTAAGATAGAAACAGATACAAACAAAGTAGTGAGGCTGGGGAAGGAAATAATTACCTCTTAGGAGCAATGCATATTCTCTGTATAGGTTCCAAACCAAAAGAACCCCTGAAAAGACCTGGACTTGATATTGGCAGTTTCTCAATTGCTTTTAAATTAGTGTGAATCCCAGAAATTATCCCACAAGAAGCCATAGCCACAGCCATTTTAGTTCAAGAATAATCTTTGAAGAAAACTAAATAAATACTAGGAGCAGTAAAAAAATAGCTTTGTTTTTTTTAGTCTGGGTTGCTTGTTGAAATAATATACTACTACTAGAGGAAGGAACCAAAAAGAATCACGGAAATGAGAATAGAAGAAAACAAGCTGATTTTAAGAGAAGAAGCAATAACCTTGCTTGTTCTAGTAATATCCGCCATTCTAATGGAGCTGTCTTTATAGTAGTAGTAATATTTTTTATGTAACGTAAAAGGTACAAAATTATGGGCCTTGTTTGTCTTTCTTGATGAAAGCTGAGCCGTAGAAAATTACTTCAATTTTATCTCACCTTTTTGTAGTGTGAAGCTGTGATTGATTTCCTCATCTTTTTTATATTTTTTTATTTTTAAATTACCTTCTCATCTTTTACCTTCCCACTGAAAGAGTCTAATAATAGTGACACTATTGGCTATGAAAAATGGGACCTTCATTATCCTCTCTATGACGTGTCCCATTTTAATCTCTCCCTTTTTTCGTTTTTCGTCTTTTTCTCTCACCTGTAATTGGATGTTGACAAGGCACGTGCCAAAATATGATGGAAATATCTGTTTTACGCTGGAAAATTCTGTTTTTTGGGAACTAATTTTAGTACAAAGGTATCTAGATAATACACACTCTAGATTTTAACTGGGTATGTAGTTTTCAAAATATATTGTTTAAAAAAATTTGTGAACTAAAATGTTCTTTAAATATTTATGTGAATTTGGAAACTTCAAACACTTTTTTTTCTTCCTATACAATATTTGACACTTATTTATCAAAATTATTCAAATTTATTTATTACCCGCGCTAAACAGGTTTTTCTTATAATTTATATAAAATTCATTATTAGCACCTTAAATTATGGGATTCTTTGCTTGGAAAACGAAGTCCAAATTGTCCTTCTATCTAAATAAGACTCATTCTAGTTGTGTGTTACTTATTTTAAGCCATAATTTGCACAATTCTTCTCTCTCTTAGCCATAATTATCTATTTTAAAAAAAGAATAATGTATGATACAACGTACGGGAGCGGCTTTGCTCCATTACATTTAGCTCGGGTAAGTGTCAATACACTTTTAGATGGACGAAACGTGGATTTTGGTATGATATTCTAGTCAATTCAAGGAGTTAAGAACCGCAAATGTTTTAGGCAATAATATGCTTTGATTTATTCCAAATTTTCTTGGTTGTCGGACTTTGTTTTTGTGTGGTTGAGATTTTGATAAATTATTTCAAGAATATCATAGTACTAAACTATTAATTGTGAATGCTATACAACCGTTACTTCGAGTAGAACAAAACATGAACATAATGTTATTAAATAGTATTTGTAAAATAAATTTTGGAAACTTTAACGAAGAAAAGGATGAAGAAGATGCAGAATTATATCCGCGCCCATCGAATTCACAATGTTTCCTTAAGGAACATAATCTCCTTTTGATATCCGAGTTTTAGGATTATTTCCTTCCATGATGAAACCCACACTGGTATAGTGATACTTCAAACATAAATAGCGATAGTGAATCACACTTATTTTATTTTTGTAAGAAAATAATGCAGAAAGAAAGAAGAGACTAAAAAATTTTATAAGGAAAGGCTAAGAGAATGTCATGGTATTTATAGCCAATAGGTTGGGTTCAAACGAAGAGATGCATGCAACTCTATCAGGTGGCCTCTCGCGTAAAACGACTATAATGAAAATGGCAAAACCAAAGAGAAATTTAAATTACCGTTACAGAAACAATTGATTTAGATTAAAAGCTTAATATAATTTTAATATATAACAAATAAATTTGGTCCAAAAAATTAATCAATTCGAAATCGAGCAAGCAACGCAGCGCGAGGCTTGATTTCTTCTCAAATCCCATTCACATTATTTTTTTAACTAAAAAATCTAACACATAGTGCACTGATTTTTTTATATTTACTACAATATTAGTTTTATTTACTTTGAAACACCATTTTCGAAATTGCTCTGAGCTTTTTGTACCTCTGTTTCCACAAGTATGTGTTTACCCTTAATATCGGATAAGAATTGAATTTGTAAGTGATTTTAAGGATACGCGAATTAAATCGATACAAAACGATAATTAAATTGCAATTGAGGTGGAATATGATAAAGTAAATTCAAACCACACGAATTAAACAATAATAGCCTTGAGGATATGAACCACCCTTGAACAGAATTCACTTCGATAAGTATTAAAACATAATTGAATATGAACTTTAAAGAGAAAATAATAGTATATTGCTTTGGGATGCGTGTTACAATGTGTTTTACAAGTAATCAGACCCCCTTTATATAGTAGGGGAGTCCTACTTTAGGTACAATTCTATATAAGGTAAAAATCTCCTAATTTGATGATTTACCAGCTCCCTATTGATACATGCCGAGATTTTCGCTGTGATACCTGACCGGTTACGAATATTTCGGCCTTCCGTTATTTGGTCTTGCACTGTTTCCTCGAGCTCATTCGGGGTCAGAGTCGATTCCGGGGTCATGGACTCGATGTTCTTGAGGACGGACATTCTGACCTCGTATCCTGGCTCAATGGAACCAGGGATCAATCTTCAATCCATCACGTTTCAATACCGATCTGTCACGCAGTACACGAACCCGATTTTGACCGTATACAGATAGTCCCCTCGTTTCTCGGAGAGTAAACGACGAGAAACGATATGAGCTTCCGATCCTCATCTCGATACTCCGCGTCAAAAACGACAAAATGAATGAAACGTCTCGACAATCACGTCTTAATGGCATTAAATGCGCATCAGTTGCTGGTCGGCCACTCCTGGTTCTGAACCATCGTTTGAAAATTATAAATACCCCCTTGTCATTCATTCAAACTTTACATCCAAACCTTCTCTACTCTTGTTCCTTAGAAATCTCTATATTTTCTAGCACTTGTATCCTAATTTTCTTAAGATCTTTGTAAGAACTCTTGTTTGTCTTCGCTCCAAACCATTAAGTGTACCCTTTTAACTTCCTCTCTTTCATCTTTTACCCTCCGTTTAAAAGGAAATGGCAAAAACTTCAAAGATAGTTCGCCAAAAAGAAGTTGCTTCTACATCACGGCCAGCCGGAGAGGAACCAGCGGCAAAACCTCTTCTTAGCACGTTTATCCCCCGGTGGGTGCTCGTGAACGCCACTTTTAAGGTTGAAATACATTCACCCGTTCCGGGCCGGGGTGAGAAGGTCTCGAGGTACATCTGCTCGATGACCGAAGACATTCTTCCTACGGTCAAAAAGGACTGCAACTGGATCGGAAAAGATGTGGGGGTTCCCAGGTCCGAAAAAGATATCACCACCCACGTTAAGGGATACTTAAGTGTTTACACTTATCCCTTACGCTGGGCCCGTTGGACCCGATAATCATCTAATTCTGTAAAAGGTATGAGGTGTGCCTTGGTTAGATCCACCCCTCGTTTTGGAGGATAGACATTCTTCTCCGATTCTTCGTGAACAAGATTGACGGATTTCCATTCACTGTTGACCATCTGATGTGCCTATACAGTCCCCGATTCTTCCGGGAGGGACTGATTAAACTTGCGCGCCGTGCTAGTAAGGCCCCATTCTCGAGCATCGATGAAGATCGAGACCGAGGTTGGCTAGGCCGATTTGTCTGAGTGAGGACCTCGGACCTGATCTTAGCCGAGTACATGTCGTTCCCTGAGGAGTGGAACACAATACGTAAGTAATGTTTCGTTTTCCCAAAAATTCATTTTTTACTCTCTTTTTCTTCTTTCTTATTGATGTTTGGTGGGATGCAGTTGTTTCTCGATTCCCGAATGCAGTTCCTCGACTCAAGGAGTGGGTCTAGGGCGTTGTCTAGCAGAAATCGTATTCCGAGCGTGCATGGCGCGAACTTTCGAAGGGCCGGTGGGAGGCCCGTTCTCACGATGAGATTCTTTTCTTGAGTGGACAACACTTGGGTTTCCTTCATGCTGCTAAGCCCTTACTCATTTCTTTTTTCTTTGAAGGACTTTCAAAGGATGTCGCAATAAGGCCTTCATCTTGTCACGACCCGGATTTTCCACCATCGGGATCGTGATGGCGCCTACTCGTGGTAGCTAGGCAAGCCAACTTATTTACCTTTCATCAATAATAAATCTGTTAACAATCTTTAGCATCAAAAAGAAATATGGAATTTAATAATAAATATACAGCGAAATCGAATATATAAAGCAATCACCAACATGGGAGGGGAAACATGCTATGGGGAGTTACAATAATAACGACAATCCAAAGTAACAAACACTAGCAACTTAAGATTTACAGCGAGCAAGAATCTAATGCCAACAATAAGCACATTTGTATCCATAACTGTTGCGGCGTGCAACCCGGCCCTTAATTACCATTGTTGCGGCATGCAACCCGCTCCACAATATCATTGTTGCGGCGTGCAACCCGACCCATATCATTTATCATGTATCATTGTTGCGGCGCGCAACCCGATCCTCTCATATTATTGTTGCGGCGTGCAACCCGACCCTCAATATCATTGTTGCGGCGCGCAACCCGATCCTCAATATCATTTAACAGTTTGACTCTCCAAACAACAGTCGCAATTATGGGCATAAAATAAGCAAATATTTGACAAACATCCCGGCAAGGGACTAATCAACAACGCTTTCTCTTTCTTACTTTTCTCATCTTTTAATTCACTTTACTATTTTGAACCAACACTCCAAAGAATCAAGTGATCATATTACCGCTCACATGTTATTCACAACATATAGAAATCCTCCAATAAACACGAAGCTCACAGCCAAGTCACGATAATCACATTATAAAGACTCACGGTCATGCTAGACACCAATGTATAGATACTCGTCACCATGCCTATACATCATACTCGATCACATAGCAATTAGCAACAAGACTCAACTCATATTCCCTCAAGCTAGGGTTAAACCAAACACTTACCTCGGTCCCAAGAATAGCAATCAACCTTCAAAGACCGCCTTTCCTCTACAATCCGACTACGAAATAGTGATATCTAGGCATGATTAATTCAATAATATCAATAAAGACTCAAGGGCAACATCCCATAGCCTAGATATGAATTTTCTAGCATTCTTCCAAAAATACCAAATTTAGACACCTGCCCACATGGTCCAAACTCGAGGCTCGGACCAAAACCCGATCACCCATAACCCCACGAGTCCACATACATAATTTGTTTTAAGATTCGTCCCCAAATTGAGGTTGAATCACCCAAAATTCTCAAAACCCTAACTCTACCCAAAACCCATAATTTCTACTTTGATTTCATGATTTAGGGCTAGGATTTCCGTAATTAATGAAAGAAATTGAAGAAAACAAGT